TACACCTAGCCTTCTCGGACAAGGGCGAAAAATCTCGGAGGGCTCGTGTGCAAGTTGCGCACGTTAAAGATCCCTTGGTGGTCTAAAATCGGTAAGAGTAGGCTTCAGCCGCCACCCAGGCAAAATTCAAAATTTCCTACCAACTGAAAATATTAGGTGTGTCCCGCGCGCTCATATGACCTTATGCAGTTGTGAGCGTCTTAAAACCTCTACTAAAACTAAAACTAAAAACATTTTCAGTTTTGGTTCGAATCATTTTTGAATTTTGCCCGTGTGGTGGCCAAAGTCTACTGTTGATGAATTTAGGACAAGCATAAGGAATCTTTTCTTTAACGTGCGTGGCTTACACACGGGACCTTCGGCATTGTTTCGTCCTTATACCCAGTGCCCAAAAACTGATCGCCCCATTCGCTGCCTGAAAACAAACGCATTTTTTTTTCATTTTTAAACGGGGTGCCCATTGGGGGATCGGATCGGGCCGGGTTGGGTCGGGTCGGGTCGGGTCGGCTTGCTAGCCAGATTGAAGGTGCAAAGCGACTGTCGTGGCACAAACCGATCGCGCTCGACTCATCGCCTCAGAAACAAATGCGTTTGTTTTAAGGCGACGAGTCGGACGACCCGATTCCATCCGCAATGGACACCTGGTACATGTACGAGGTTTCGAGTCGGGCGATCGGTTTGTGCCGCGATGTTACCTTTGCACCTTTAATCTAGCATCTGCGTTTGTTGCGGCCGCGATTTTTGGCATTTTTCCAACAAAAAACCACCGCCGGGAAGAAAAAAAAAAAAAAAAAACCAACAAAAAAAAACACAACAAAAAACGAAAAAACAAAACAGGGAATAACATTCGTGAAAAAAAAAAAGAAACCGAACCTCTTTACTTTTAGAAAGAAAATTTATTTTCACTTTCGCTTCACTTCGTCTTTTTCTCACTTGTTAACACCACGTTGATATGTATTTTCATGTGAAGAATATAAGTAGGCTTACATTACATACTCTTTATATTGCTGTTTCTCTTCCTTGTTTCCCTCTTTGTTGTGTTTTAATTTGTTGGTGTGTAAATTTTTTTCTTCTTGTTATTATTCTGATGTGTTGTTTTTCTATTTTTGTGCGTATGTGAGGCAGCGTGGTGGAATCAGGCTCTCGTCAATTTTTGGGCATGTAGAGTTATTGGTATCATCTTAAAGCTTGTTCACTTGTCTTTATTTTGAGGAAAATAATATCCTTTTATCTTGAATACAAGTCGAGATATTTGCGAAAGAAGGAGGTGGGGGTCACCTGTTTGCAGAGGTAAAATTAGAGAGAAAATCGCCGCCAAAGATTAGTTATTTCCTTAGCTTTAGAGTCCATGGTAACTGAAAATTTATATTTTTTGTGACTTTAATCAACGTTTTTCGGAAAAATTCCCACAGAAATGAGTTCTTTAATGGGCATAAAAGATATTGAGCCAAAAAACAAAATTTGAGAAAAATTAACAAACCTGCGGAAAAATGCAAGTTTCTTCACTTTGATTATTTTGACGAGAGCCTGATTTCACCGCGCTGCCTCACATATAATATAGTGTAATGTTCTTCCTACCTCTTTAAAAAAAAAATGTGTTATGTTAGAGCGTGTCTCCACCAAAACTGAATACTGACACTGGCCGGCCCCTTGAGTGTGATTCCATAATTTACATGTTATATCCCGTACTTTTTCTCTTGAATTACGCGCATTTAGGGTTATATCGGCCAGTCTATGGATGGGTTGACACACGCCTTTATTTGCTCATTTTTGTGGTTGTTTATTTGCTGCTCTAATTTTGATTTCCTTCTGTTTTGAAACCTTTCTTTTTCACGTTTTTACACCCTTGTGTGGCCACAAATGTTATTCTGGACGCTTAAAACAGAGCACAGGAAATCCTAGTGTTTTAGATTAAGTTAGATTAAGTTACCTCTATCAACATATTGCTATATTATGTCGTCTCGGAGAGTAGAAAGCTTGAAAATTATTGGCAACTTTTTTGGGCAACTTTTGCCATCTTTGTGGCAACTTTTGGCAACTTTTTGGACCAAAAAAATAAATGGCAACAAACGCA